GTCATCTCTGTTTCTACTGTGAACTCAACTCACATCAACAAACTAATTAAAAGGAATCACACCTAAGAAATAACCAATCACTGAGGCATAACTCCACTGTCAGAAATTAAGTAGTAGCCACTTAGCACAAATGACCTGATAGTGAGCAAGATTCAGAAGAGACGCTTCAGAAACAAATGGCGCTGAACCATGTGTGTTCGGTGCAGACAGAGATACAAGCCATGACAGGCTCTCAGCTGGCCAGCGCTCCTCCTGATGCCTTCTTTGCGAAGTCACAGCTTCCCCTCTCTCGCAGAGCCTCTAAATGTGGGTGCCTGGAGACCCTCTTCAGCCCTCTGTCATTTTCCTTTTTGCTCTGCTGTTAGAGTTTCCATCTGCTTTTCATGGCTTCAGTGAAGATCTCCACAGAACACTCACAAATCTTGCTTCTGGTATTGAATTCCCTCCCATAAATTTTAGTCCTAGATTTGCAAAACGTTTGGAATATCTATAGTCATCTTAAATTCAACATGTTCAGAGCCAAACTCATCATCATTTGTTGATTTGCATTTGTTCATGCATTCATTCATTCATTCATTCATTCACTGGCACTGGGCACAAATGACGAAAAGGACCTCCCTGACTTCAAGAAGCTCAGAGTCTGATCTTAAATTGGAGTCAGAATTTGTAGATCAAAAAGGATGTGACTTACCTGCAATACCCTGTTTGTGTACAAGTCAACTGAAGCCAAGGGAGATCATAGGGCTTAAGGGCATACTGCTATTGGCAAAGCTAGCAGTTAAACTCAGGACTCCTGACTTGTGCATTTCCATCAAAGAATCATAATTCTCCCAATTTCCTCAGTACAGCTTTGGAGGAACACAAATGAGATTCCTCAGTGTCTCACCTAACCATCAACAGCCAGTCAATCAAAAAGCACTTCAGTGTCTTCCTTTTGACCATCTCCCATTTCTGCCATTTCCTTAATTTCTGACCACCTGGGCTGTTCCAGGTCAGCATCACCCTCATACATCACCTGACCCTGCCTGTGGAGATGGTCAGTCTCCCTGACCCTTACTGCACTGGGCATTTCCGCTACCTGACCTGCACCACTTATCTCATCCTCTGTCTCCAGTTCAACTCACATGTGGCTCCCAGGACAATCCTTCTAAAGCCCTGTAAACACATCATGCTCCAAACATGCAGTGAGTCTCAGATACCCTCAGCACCATTTATCAAACTGGGATCCACAAAACATGGATCCCAGTGGATGCTCTGTGGAGTCGGGGGTCTGTGGTCATAGGAAAATGCTGCTTGCACTCCATTGCTTGGAGAGTCACCTGCTTTTGAACCAGTATTTCCCAAGCTTATTTGACCACAGAACTCCCCCTTTGCAAGGAATGCACATGACCACCCCCCAGACCCAGTGTTTCTGCAAAAGTGTGGTGGGAGATGGCAGCCTACAGTCTTTTAAGTACAGTGAGTTGGTCAGGTAGCTCAAGTTTCTTCTATTCTCCTTCCCTAATGGTATGTTTTTACAATTTTCCCAATTGGAAACATCCTCCAACATCACTTGAAGTCAAGGTTCATGTACGGAAAGAAGGTTGGAGACGTGTGTCAAGGATGAAACTTCTGTCATGTCAGACAACTATCCAGGGCTCAAGTGAGCAAAGGGATCTCAACTTATAATGGGTTAGATCACGATTAGGACCAAAATTGTAAATAGGTCAAGCCCAGAGACATGGAAAAGATCAGGAAGGAATCATTGGTGCACGCAGGCAAGTGCTGGAGCTGGGCTGAGGAAGGGAAGAGCAGTCAGTCGTGGTAATCTTAGATGTACTGCTAAGATTCTTCTTATGGTCCAAGACTCTTCTCAGTTGGACTGGAGATCTAGGCTGATGACTGCTCCTCCTGGGGATGGGCAGCCCTGGACCATAACATGGAGGTCAGGAGGAGGCTGGGGGTTAGGCCACAGGTGAGTCCTGCAACATGGAGGTCAGGAGGAGGCTGGGGGTAGGCCACAGGTGAGTCCTGCAACATGGAGGTCAGGAGGAGGCTGGGGGTTAGGCCACAGGTGAGTCCTGCAACATGGAGGTCAGGAGGAGGCTGGGGGTAGGCCACAGGTGAGTCCTGCAACATGGAGGTCAGAAGGAGGCTGGGGGTAGGCCACAGGTGAGTCCTGCAACATGGCGGTCAGGAGGAGGCTGAGGGTTAGGCCACAGTTGAGTCCCGCCCATTTCTATTTCAGAAGTAGGAAGAATGGAATTACCTCAGTTATCTTTCTTTGTTTTTGTAATTTTCCCATTTGGAAACATTCTCCATCTCCTTTTCCACTTAATTAAATCTTACCCTTCCTCCAATATTCAGTTCAGATCTCTCTTCTAAAAATTCTTTCCCAGCTCCCTCATCTGAGCATTTATTTTCCTGAATCAGAAAACCAAAACCTCAACAGTTAAAAGCACTCTTGGCTTGCATTTGTGCCAAGAAGCCTGGGAAATGGTAGAATTTTCCCATTAAATACCTTTAAAACTAATGTATAAGGTAAGATTTTAGTACATTCACAAACAAGAACTGCATTTATACGAAACTTTCAGGAACTATAGTTTTTAAGTAAGGAGATTTAACACCAGTAAGCAATTCATTATAGCTGATACTGAGCTCTGGTGTTTGACCAGAATAACTTTGGAAAAACTAGGAAAGTTTCATGCCTTCATTTTCACTTTGCAAAAATTGTCAACCAGCGAATGAATACTATTATGAGAAGAAAGACTGAATAGTGCAGAAGGAAAATAAAATCATGATAGATTCCATAAAGACCATTTATATTGTAAGAGAATATTTCCATCTTTCTATTTCTAGCATTCCCACCCCCAACAATACAAATAAAATTAGTCTCATTTGCTTAAAAATTATCATTTTGGTATAATTTCTGTGTATTTCTGAAACATTTTTCTTCCTAAGGGAGAAAAGATGCCTCGTAATAAGAATGCTCAATTCAGTTCCTACCTGGAATTTAAAAACTATCACAGTAGACACCATATATTAACACACATACATCAGCTTCACTGAGCTGTGGGTTATGGAAGGAAGCATGAGGAGAAGCACATTGGAGGTAATTCCAGTATGTTGACCTCTGAAATAGAAATGGGCCGGACTCACCACAGGTGGCTTATCCCCAGACTCCTCCTGACCACCACGTTGTGGTCTCAGGGCCGCCCAGGAGCAGTAGTCATCAGCCTGGATATCCAGTGCAGCTGGAAACAGTCTCAGATGGCATGGACCTTACCAGTACATTTAAGATGATTATAACTGACTGCACTGCTCTTCCCTGCCTCAGCCCAGCTCAGGCACCCGTTTGCATGCACCTATCATTCCTTCCTGACCTTTTCCATTATCTCTGGGCTTGACCTGTTTTCAATTTGGTCCTCATCTTGATCGAACCCATTATATTTGGAGATCCCTTTGCTCACTTGAGCCCGGGATGGTCCTCTGACATAACAGAAGTCTCAGCCTTGACACGTATCTCCAAACTTCTTTCCCTATGTGAACCTTTGACCTCAAGAAACTAATCTACTCATGGAGCCTTGGGTAAACCATGCCATGCACACCAACAATTTCATTCTCCAAAAGGCCTGTCCTGTGAGACTCAGGCCCAGGTTCTTCTCTCAAGAAGCCTTCTCCAACTTCTCAGCCTATGAAAACCACCTCAATCTCTGAACTAGAACACTTACTGTCTCCTCTAGTGACTCACATAGCAGGCCCCACAAAACAGTGTCCCAGAGGGTGCCTCCAAGGGAAAAGCTCCCTCTTGGAGATTAACAACACACATTAGCATATTAAAGGCTTTCAGAGTCTTAAACCCAAGAAACCTTTCATATAATATTGAGCCTCGTGTTTCTCAAATTTATTTAGCCATGGAACTCCTTTTCCATGCTACAGCCTTTGACAACAATTTGGAAGTGCAGGTGGAAGGAAAATGAGCCTGCCTAAGTCAGTGACATTTCTCACAAGCAATCTTGTATTCTCAAGTGTCCTCAGGTCCATGTCTCTTCTCCGCCTGATTTAAATGGCAGCAACTCGGCAGCTCTAACCAGCTGCAGGCTTCCTCACCTCTCGTTGCTGTTCTGATCCTCACATCACTCTCTGCCTGGTGGGAGTGAGCTAATGCACAGGAGGCCTGTAGCACAGCACCTAGCATAGAGTCAAGAGCAAAGCTGCTAGCTATTTTGAATTTGGGGCAGTAGGGAGAAAGAGTGGTTAAGAGTTTAGTCTGTGGAATCAGACAGGCCCCATTCTAATTCTGGCACAGCTCTCACTAGACAGACTATGAGGTCAAGGATCATGTCTGTTTTGTCCATCAATGTCTGGCACAGACACAGTGCCTGATAGAGACCATGCAGTCAATGAGTATGCAATGAATGAATGAAGGACAAAGCAATTCTCAGCCCAGGTGTTTTGTCCAACAGAGCATATTTGGCAGTGTACAGAGACAGTTTTGGCTGTCACACTAGCATCTAGTGGGTAAAAGTAAGGATGCTTTACATGAAACATCCTACAATGCTTAGGACAAAGAACAATCCAGCCCCAAAGGTCAACAGTGCCAGAGTTGAGAAATCCTGCTCTACAGACAGGTCAATCAGGGATGAATTTCTAACCATGGACCCCAGCTGTTAGGCCTTGAGCAAGTCAGAAAATTTCTGTCTTAATTGAATGGAATTTTAATGGGATTTTGTATCATACATTTGCAAGCAAATACATATTCAAATGAGATGAACTGGGTAAGCCAGAGCAAGTGGTTAACACAGTGATGGTGCGTGAAAATCGTGACCTATATACGTGTCCCATAACATTCTTACCATTGCCTCCTCTATAATGTCTCAGGTGATGGTGAGGCTCTTTAGGTGGACTCTTCACTCTCTTGGAACTCACTGTCTCAGTCCCCAAGTGAGTACTCTTGTCAAAGTAAGCCCTATGCTCCCACTTAGGTTTCCTGTATGGTCAACTTTTATTTATATGCTCACCAGGGGCTCCACAGTGAAAACGCTATTGAAGAAGATCATGCTGTCTCCCTGCACCGGCCTCCTCTGATTCGCAAAGGTTCGGGAGAGAACAGAAAGACGTTCTCGGAGTGAAGGATCAGCAATGCACTCTTCAAAAAACTCATCAGTCTCATCCTTCTCCTCTTTGAACTGATCATCACCGACCCTAAAGAAAACAGGAAATGTGAGATTCGTGTGGGTCCTCTCATGAAGAACTTTGTAAAGGGTTTCTCTCCAGTCCCTCCTCCTGGAAATGTCCTCACCCATCACCCTGGAGTGGTCCCTCCTTGCCCTGAGTCTGTAACCTGCTGCACTTGCACTCGGTCCTCAGAACTCTCAGAGCCTGTTTGCTCATTTTCAGCCACCTTCTTTAAGAGGGCCTCCCTGGATTCCTTTCCTATTCAGTAGTCATTGCTTTACTCCTGAGCCCTTACAGATATCTGGACAAATATTTTCTTTCAGGTAATTGTGTTTTCCGAGCTGCCTTTTAAATATTTAACATCTATTCTGCCGCTCACATGGCAAGGACAATTTTGTTCCTTTTAAATTTGCTTAGCCTTAATTCTTTCTTAGCTGTTAGTTACCTGGATAATAGAACCTGGGGCCAGCAGGGACTAGGTTTGCACAGTGATTCCATGATCTATTTACTAGCTCTGGGACTTTGGGAGTTACCTGATTCCTCTAAGCCTCAATGCCTTCATAGGAGCTGCTCCATCAGAAACGTGTTGAGGGTTAAATGTAATCAAGCCTCTAGTGCAGTTCCTGGGACAAAGCTGGCAATTCCATCAATACCAGTTTTCTCTGTCAACCGTAGGCAATCACCAAGCTGTCAAGCTTATAAAATGCTCAACCTATGCCTTCAGGGACCTCCTTTTCTCTCTCTTTCTAGCTCTTAATATCCACTGTGATAAGAGAACAGCAGGTTTCCCCAATCCTCCACTCACTGCCCCCACCGGAGCTGTGTTCACACTTCTCCTGAACTTTGCAGACTGAATTTTATCTCCTCCCAGGACATATGACCATGTTCCCATCATTGTACTGGTATTACCAGTGGTGAGAGACAAATTATATAGCAATATAAGTGCTGAGTGGGAACCTAGGATCACTGAGTTCCAGACCCAGTTCCAACTATTGTCAAATAACTCTTTTTAAATAACTTATGTGTTCAGGGTGCTTTGGTCACACTGCAAAAAGAAGTCAAAGAAATGGGCTCAGCGTGTTCTGGTTCCAAGGAAGAAAGCATCTTGTACTTGATATTTATTGCCAGGTGGAAGGCAGTGTCCAAGGTGACTAGCAGCATTCCTTCCATACTGCTGGGCACAGCAGGGCAAATTAAAGACAGCTCAGTTCACAGAAAGAAAGGAATCTATTGCTTTTTTATTTGAGATTTTGTTATCTGATACTGATTTGAAAACCTTACAAATTATATACCCTTAAGAACCAAAAATATTCCACTTGCAGGAATAAATCTTAAAAACAATCATGGATATAAACAAAGACACAGCCACAAAGATGCTCATTAAAGTGCTGGAAGGACACCAGATCAAGTGAGCAAATTTGATGTAAGATAATGAAGCGCTGGTCGAACCAAAATGGGAATCATGAACATTATATTTGTTGGGTACTTGTCAAACTTTTCACATACATCACATAATTTAATACTCGTAACTCCCAGAAGGGTCATTAGCATGTTGATCATCATTCCCACTATACAGATGATGAAACTGAGGCATTGAAAGGTTAAGTAACTTGCCCCAGATCACACAGCTGAAAGACAGCCTGGACTTTGGGGTCTTTGGAGGTTTGAATCCCCTGGTGCTAACCAATATGCACACTGCCTCGTAAGAATCCAGGGAATATTAGGGAATAATAAGCAGCTAGGAAAGTGGGATTAAATAGAATATTTAACATCATTTTCAAATGTCTGAAGTATTTTTAAGGTGAAAAACAAAGTGGTAAAATGTAACATATACAATAATCCCGCTTTTGCAATAAAAAAGTAAAAAAACCCATACTTACTGAGGAAAAAAAAACAGATTAAGAGATACCAAAATATTGACTATGGTTTCTCTGGCTGGAAGGATTAGAATGAAATTTCGCCCTCATCTTTGTGCTTGTCTTAATATTTTCTAAATTTTATTAGTGCACAATGTATTTCTTTTTAAAACAGAAAACAAGTCATTTACGAAATTAAATGCCAATCAGTTCTCAGGCTGAAGCACTACAGTTTTGGCCCGGTTGCCTAACATGCCTGTATTGGCATGAGCCTGTGGATGCCCCTCCATAAGGATACACAGGGGAAATGTGGGGGAGACACAATGTGGTCTGGTCTGCAGAAGGTGGAGACAATGGATTAGATACACACAGAGCAACGTGAAAGGATGTTAAGCGTACAGCCTCGTGAAAAAAAGGAGAAAATGGAAAAAATATGACTTCTGTCTGTCTCTCCCCTAAGATAATATATATTTGGAAATAACAGATTCACATAAAAAGATAGACACATTCACATCCTGGAATGATATCTTTGGGGGAATTAACAGGAGTGGGGTGGGGAATGTATGCGAATAAATAAAATGCTTTGTGTGGACTGAGGATAAGGATGATAATACTCCATGAACTGAGGAGTATGAGAAATGTAATCCCTGCACCAGAAACCAAAGAGAACAAAACAAATGCTGAAATGCTGCTCTTCTCCCATGCTGTTGAAACTCCAAATCGGTAACAGCCAGTATAAGGGAAAGGGAGGCAAGAGGGTAGTGGATTCTTCTTCTTTGCCTCTGACGGAGAATTGGAGCCATGACTAAGAGTCTAAGGAGGAGGGGTACAGCCACACCTTTGGGCGGCCTGACTCCAACAAGGGCTTCTATTTATCTCAGTCTAGTGTTTTGCCATCTTGTCCTGCTGATAGTTATGGTTTCCTGCATTCAGAGATGGTTTTCTTTATAGAGGAGACCTTTCATCAGACAGCCTAATAGCAGGCCAGCCTTGGACTGTAACCATGGACTTAACCCATTTTACAAATGGTCTAGTAGCTATCAACCCCTTCACCCTCATGCATCAAGGACAGGCCAGCCTGGACAACAGTCAATGGGGAAGACTTGTGTCTCTGGTGCAGCAAGGTTGAATCAGCATAGTCCCTCATCTTTAGGTACTCAAGACCTGTAACTTGCTCCCTTCAGCACACACAAGAGGTGCCAACTGAATGCTGAGGAGATTAAAAATTAAGAGCCATGGTCTTGAGAGCTGGAAGAAATACTCCCATGTCCACACTTGGCTTGGAACCCCACACTCAAGACCTGTAACCTGCTCCCATCAGCACCCACAAGGGGTGGAGCCATCCACCTTCAAATGAAAATGGACCACATGACCCTGAACAGTTAGCAACTCTGTGATGAATGTCACAAATGAACTAGGGATCCTCTTCTTGTTTGCCAGTACCACATACATCTTCAGATTTTTCTATAAACCCTACGGAAGGAAAGGGTCCTGTAAACATAACTGAGATTGAGTTTATTACAACCCAGGTGGGTAGGCTCAAAGCCCAGTGAAAACTGCTCTATCTAAAGAAAGGTGTCATTTCCTGCATCTGCATGTAACGGAGTAAATCCATGCTGACCACTCTGGGGGGCTCCATTGAGAATTGTAGGAGCTCTTGTACAGAGCAAATCAAGAATTAGAGCCAGCTGCTACTGAGAAAATGGCTGGGGAAATGGGGAGCAAAAATCCTTAAAGCCCACGCCAAGTCTCTGAATACAGTGAACGTGATAAGAATAAGTATAAAGAATCTTGCAGAATGTTTTAAAATCCCTCAGGACAAGGTTGAGGAAGCAAGGAGGGATGAATGCAGCCTCCATTTCTAAAGAGATTAATTTCTCTGCAAGTCCCAGAAAAACATCAAGAGAAAGAACTAAAAGGTGATGTTTTAAAGGTCCCTACACATCTGATTCTCAAGTTAAAAAAAAAAACAAAAACAATTTTAAAGCACAGAACTTCTTCCTAGAGGAAGGAACATCATCACCCAAGCGTGTAGCATGGAAGCAACCCTCTGTCCCCAAACCTGGACAGGTGTCCTAAGGTTTTTAGCAATACTTTGAGGCAGGTGTGGAGGAAGGCCAAACAGTAAACCGCCAGAAAGGAATAGGGATTCCTGGGGCTGAAATTCCTCCACTAGAAGAAGAGATATTCAAGTCTTTGTCGTCAAGCTACAAGAAGACAAGAAAACTTGATGGCTAGGATGGGACTTGAGTGTATCTGGTAAAGCTATTAGCATTGTTGAAGTGACCTCTGAGCAACTTTCAGCCCCTGGAGATGAATGCCAGAGGACATGCTTTAAGCCATGTTGAAATGCCAGGAAAACAGTGGGCAGGCTCTTGAGCGTGACCTGAAAATTTACAAAGAAGTTAAATCTTTTAACCATAGAGGCTGCTGAAGGATAGGGAACAAAGGAAGAAGGTGCAACCCATCGTGAGCAAGAGAGTCAGACATAAAGACGGTAATGCCACATTCACCTGTGCAGGCCTTCCTGGGGTGCTCAAGAGAGGATTCACCCCATTAGCTAAAGATCTCGTTGCTGCTTTTCAGGGATGGGCAGACGTCTGCCCATAAGCAAGCTACCAAAGAACATTTTGCTTTACAGGCCCAATGTGTGACCTGGGACACAATCTGAGAATTTGTGACCCAGAGGAGGAGGGGCCTACACTCATAGCAAGAGCACCGCTGCCTGCAGAGCGCCACTGCCCTGTCCAGAGGCAGGAACTAAATGTTCAGTAAAGGGCAAATTTGTCTGTACTCGCCTTCCTTTCCAAGAGGTTGGGCATTTCATGGTGGTTATTTCAAGGACAAGAATTCATGGCTTATAATAGGAAAGTTGTTTGATTTCTTATTATTATGATTGGGGATGTATTGAGGAACAATGGAGAGTAGAGCAAGAAGTGCCGCCCTGGTGTAACAAGAGACCAGCATGACTGGCATCCTTTCTGCCTCTTGGCCTAGCTCCTGGCACGCAGGAGAGAGCTGGGAGGAAAGAAAGGGGCAGCATAGGGCCGGGCGCGGTGGCTCAAGCCTGTAATCCCAGCACTTTGGGAGGCCGAGGCGGGTGGATCATGAGGTCAAGAGATCGAGACCATCCTGGTCAACATGGTGAAACCCCGTCTCTACTAAAAATACCAAAAATTAGCTGGGGATGATGGTGTGTGCCTGTAATCCCAGCTACTCAGGAGGGTGAGGCGGGAGAATTGCCTGAACCCAGGTGGCGGAGGTTGCGGTGAGCCGAGATTGCGCCATTGCACTCCAGCCTGGGTAACAAGAGCGAAACTCCGTCTCAAAAAAAAAAAAAAGAAAGGGGCAGCATATCACAGATATGCATATCACAGTCCGGTTTGGAGAAACAGGAGTTCTGGGCCTGTATGTCACCCAGAGTGAAAGCAATGGTATTATTTATCTGAAGCCACTTTTCAAGTCTGTTGTTTAAGAGGTCATGATTCTAGATGATAAAAATCAGGCTTCCAATCATGGTTATGAAAATACTATCCTATGTTTTTCCCCTTGTTACAAAAAAGTTGCCAGGAAAACGAACAGAGCAAGGGAGATAGTTAAAGAAAACCATGCAAGAGAAAAGGAACAATAAAAGACAGTATTAAGGAGATAGGGGTGTGAGTTTCAGGGGAGGTGAAGTGGGGAAAAAAATGAAAATCAATGCCCATCCACTGTGGCTGAGATTATATTCTCTGCAGTTCAGCATCTCTGAGAACCATTGGTTTTAATCTTTCTAGAGTTTAACTGCTGAAATTAACCTCCTAACATAGCTTTTGGGCATTGGCATGGCATCAGTCACATACTAACCATACAGTCAAATGCACAGACAGGGCTGAAATTAAAGCTGGCTTTCCTTCTCTCTTACAAGTGTATTCATTCACCACAAAGGGTTATGCCCATAGAACAAGAATGATACTGAAACACTACTTTGCTGTTTCACTTTCTTTTTTTTCAGATAGAGTTTTGCTCTGTCATCCAGGCTGGAGTGCAATGGCGGAATCTCGGCTCACTGCAGTCTCTGCCCTTGGAATTCCAGTGATTCTCCTGCCTCAGCCTTTTGGGCAGCTGGGATTGCAAGCATCCGCCACCATGCCCACCTAATTTTTGTATTCTTAGTAGAGACAGGGATTCACTATTGTGGCCAGGCTGGCCTCGAATTGATGACCTCAGGTGATCCCCCGGCCTCAGCCTCCCAAACTGCTGGGACTGCAGGCGTGAGCCACCTCGCCTGGCCGCTGTTTCGCTTTCTTTACCTGGATCTCCTCTCCCACTTTCCCTTCAAAGCATGTTGGGTCATTTTGATTGCTGGTGAGCACACATGACCTGGGGAACCCGGACAAAGGAAGCAGTAGCAGATCCTTTTCCTTGTGCCTTTTAAAACCATGGCTATTTCTATGCTCTAAGGCCAAAGGAAGTTTTTAGGCATAAGTGGTTTTTCTTTCCTCATTTTTTTTTTAAAGACAGCACAGTGGCAATTCAGTGATTAAAGCTCATTGTCTGGATGACAGAGCTTCTGGCCCACTGTGTCCTGTCATTGTCATGGTTTCTGATTCAATTAGGGACTGCACACTGAGGGGGGGCGGGGGGGTTCTTCCTGGTTTCCAGGGACCTAAGATTTATTTTTATCACCCCGAACTTGGTTTTAAACAAAGCTTTGAAGCTTCCCAGGGCTAATCTTTAATGAAAATGGAGAGGCAAATAAAAAAGGCTGAAATAAATTCCAATGAAAGCAGCAAAAGAGTTAATTCAGAGAGGTTGGAAGGAGATAAAAATGAAAATGGAGCTTAAAAGAGGCAAGCATGGATTCAGTACAAAGAAATCTTCAAAATTTAACAGTGATGAGATTAGCTACAACCATTTGGTTTTACATTTTATTAATTTTTTCCACTGCCTGAAGTGTCATTTTAAAAAGCAAAATATTAAAGATGCCAGTGAGAAATCATTATTAAATTATATAGTTTGCAGGGACTAAGCAATGCTACTAAAACGGAGACTATAAAAGCCATTATATCTAAGCCCTTCTTTTTCCTCACTCTCCATATTTTCTAGAAGTATCTTTTTACTGAAAAAAATTCCACATTGATGCCAATCCAAATAGATTATTTTTAGGAACTCTTTATAAAAGCTGATCAACCTGGCCAGGCACCATAGCTCATGCCTGTAATCCCAGCACTTTGGGAGACCAAGGTGGGCAGATCGCAAGATCAGGAGTTCAAGACCAGCATGGCAAACATAATGAAACCATGTCTCTACTAAAATTACAAAAAATTAGCCAAGCGTGGTGGCAGGCACCTATAATCTTAGCTACTTGGGAGGCTGAGGCAGGAGAATTGCTTGAAGCCAAGAGGGAGAGGTTACAGTGAGCTGAGATCCCACCACTGCACACCAGCCCCGGTGACAGTGTGAGATTCTGCCTCAAAACAAACAAACAAACAAAACAAAGAAAAAACACCTGATCAACCTGGTTAGGCTTATGAAAAGTAATAGAGAGAGGCAGATTTGTTTTGAAATAAAGAATGACAGGTTTGGTTTTCAAAATCTAGGCATTCCATTACTGCTAAACTATAACCACGTTACATTAACCCAGAATGGATATTCTGTTCCACATAGCGCAGCTCACATTGTTCAAACGAACAGCTTCAAAAGAGGGCCTTACACCAGAACCAAGTTAGGAAAATGTGACATTGGTTGAGTTGGCTAAAAATGTAGTACAAAATTTACTGGTTTTTCATAACTGAGTTTTACATTTCCCCCACCACAAATTACTGCATATAGGTGATTTTTGTTACAAACCTGTAGTTTTCTCTGTCCTCTTCTTGCTGGGTAGCAAATACCTTCCACAGGAAACGGGCAATGATATTACTGCGGTTGTGAATGGTTATAGTTCGCCGATTGGCCAGAGATATATAGGTTTTCTCGATGGTCAGGGAATTCTTATCCAGCCTTATATTCATGTCTATGGCAGCTCCATAGAGAGATACGAACACCTTTTCACCTAGGAATTAACAAAGCACAAACAAACTTCAAGATTTATTCTAGAATGACATTCCTAGGCTATCCTTTTTTCAAGCTGAAGCTAGGCCAGGCAGCATAAGCATCAGGATTTCATTATTTCCACTGAATCTCCATCAGTCCAGAGATGAGATATAATCAGAAAACTTAAATATTATGCTTGGTGCAGTTATACAAAAATCAAGTTATCTTGCTGGTCATTGTAAGAAATATATAAAATATGAATTGTTGCTGTGGGCGCTCCAAAACATTTTCTTCTTTTAAAATAGCTTTCAATTCTACAGCCTGACAAGAAGGACAATCGAGTTCTAGAATTTTACTCTATGCCCCATCTTTAGCTCATGCATGAGCTTGATTTGTGGTTCTTAAAATGCTTGTACCAAGTATACTTGAGAAGAGCTACTCAGCATGAGAGAATTTAAGTCCATTTGAGAATAGAGATCAGGAGGGAAAATTCAGTAACTTCAAAAATAGAAAACTAAAAGAAACCACATCCCTAAACAGCAATTAAAACAAAACAAAACACACACACACACACAAACAAACATATGCGCATATGCACACACACACACCCCTGACATGCCTGGATAGTGGCTATATAAAAAGAAAACAAAAATAGACAAGAATCACATTTAAATTTAAAGTTTTTTAAATATTAGGAACCTCTTCGTTCATATGGCAATTTAAGCCCCTGACTTTATGCAGGCTGCACCAATTACCTTGATTCTAAGTTTACAAGTGAGTTTCAAGAAGACACAAACCTATAAACTATATTCAATTTGATCTCTGCAATGTCACAGCAGGTGCATTACTCTGACATCACACAGAAAAAATAAATATTGAAATACTATGAATGCTTTGCTGAACTGTGTTGCTAAAGTTTTAAAGCATCATTACTTGCATTTTATTTTTTGGCAGACATTTCTGCTCCATTCACTATTGTATGAGCCAGTCATTCAGGAAATCAACAACCCTTTATACATTTTAAATGTTCTTTAGGCTCCATAACTTTGGATGCAGAAAAAACTTTCCTCAAAGAAAGAAAAAGTAAGAATCTAGGCATTTGACTCTAAAATTTTTATTTTAAAAAACTTATATAGTCAAATTTCAAAACTAAAAATTGTAAAATATATTTCTCCCCTTTAGCGAACTGCAGGTCTGCTTTTTAGAGGTAAGAACTGTCAATATTTTGATGCACATCCTTTCCAATAAAAGATATGCACTCATGTCAACTTTTTTTTTTTTTTTTTGAGATGGAGTTTGACTCCTTACCCAGGCTGGAGTGCAATGGCGCGATCTTGTCTCACTGCAACCTCCACCTCCTGGGTTCAGGCAATTCTCCTGCCTTAGCCTCCTGAGTAGCTGGGATTACAGGCACGTGCCACCATGCCCAGCTAATTTTTTGTATATTTAGTAGAGACGGGGTTTCACCATGTTGACCAGGATGGTCTCGATCTGTTGACCTCGTGATCCACCCGCCTTGGCCTCCCAAAGTGCTGGGATTACAGGCTTAAGCCACCACGCCCAGCCCATGTCAACTTTTAAACCTTCTTTGAGTGAAATGTAACAATCTGATAAGTGAAAACTCATTGCTACTTTAATTGGAATACTCTTAAATATGTATGATGTTGAACACCTTTTCATATGTTAATTGGCTTAAACCAAAGAGAAAACCCCTCCCCCAAATAAGCTAATACTCGAAGAGCTATGCCTTCAAGATGAGGATAAATTGAAAGTAGATTAGCCCTAGTTCAGAGTTGAATATCATGCTGGAATTGCCTATGTCTTGCAAATAACTTCAAACCTTGAATTTGATAATGATTGACTGGTTATACCCCGCGATACATGGCATAAGAAACTCATTTCTTTTTGGATAAAAGTACTTGCATCCAAAGTTTCAAATTTTTCAACATTATTTATACAGCACATAACCAGAACAAAATGATGCAATACAGAGACATAAAACTCCATGCGTTGGAACCAGCAGATACAAGAAAAATGGAAACAGGCCCACGAAAATTTCAGACACTAGGAATCATCAGATAGAAACCATGAACAAATTATACATAGCATATTTAAAGAAAGAAATGATGAGGTTGAAGCTATATGTAGAAAATAGAAAATCCACAAAATCTTTAAAAAATTTGAAAAGAGCCACACTGTAGGACTTATGGAAATGCAGCCAACAAACATATGGAAAAAAAGCTCAACATCACCGGTCACTAGAGAAATGCAAATTAAAACCACACTGAGATACCATCGCACGCCAGTTAGAATGGCGACCATTAAGAACTTGGTAAACAACAGATGCTAGAGAGCATGTGGAGAAATAGGAACGCTTCTACACTGTTGGTGAGAGTGTAAATTAGTTCAACCATTGTGGAAGACAGTGTGGCAACTCCTCAAGGACCTAGAACTAGCAATTCCATTAGTGGGTATATGTCCAAAGGATTATAAACCATTCTACTATAAAGACACGTGCACACATATGTTTACTGCTGTGCTATTCACAATAACAAACACTTGGAACCAACCCAAATGCCCATCAATGACAGACTGGATAAAGAAAAGCTGGCACATACACACCATGGAATACTATGCAGCCATAAAAAGGATGAGTTCATGTCCTTTGCAGTGACAGGGATGAAGCTGGAAACCATGATTCTCAGCAAACTAACGCGAGAACAGAAAACCAAACAACACATGTTCTCACTTATTAGTGGGAGCTGAACAATGAGAACACACGGACACAAGGAGGGAAACATCACCCACTGGGGCCTGTCAGCAAGTAGGGATCTTGGGGAGGGATAGCATTAGGAGAAATTCCTAATGTAGATCACGGGTTGATAGGTGCGGCACACCACCATGACACATGTATACCTATGTAACAAACCTGCACATTCTGTACTTATACCTTAGAACTTAAAGTATAATAATAATAAATAATCCAAAGATGATGAGAAGGAATATATATATTCAGTGTGTGTGTGTGTATGTGTGTATATACACACACACACAGCAGGGTTATTTATAATAGAAAATGGAAATCAGTGCAAAGGTTCACTAATCACAAATGTCTAATTAAATTGTGGTATATAATGTGCTAGAATATCATATTGCTATTAAGACAATAATTATGAGGGCATGCTGACAATCTGGCTCATGCCAATTTTTTGCTAGAATTTAGTCATCTGGAAATTATGAATATATGAAGCAAAATTTATGAAATTATGCTAAGTGAAAAATGGAAAACAAAAAGAGTATACGTGTTCCTGATTAAAACTATGTAAAAGCTATGTACGTCTATGCCCAACATGAAAAGAGGTTTGGAGAAAAAGTATTTTTTCCTAATAGTTAAAAATCTATTTTATAGTGTTTTTAAAAAAGATAAAAATAGAAAAGATATTCTATCTGTTGTTGGAATCAATTTCAAAGCATTTATTACACAATGACTATTGTAAAATCTAGTCATAACAAAATAATAATGCTCAGGTGAAAATTCAGCATTTAATGTGGAATATAAAATTGGGCAGATTACCTCCTGATTGTTATATTTGCTTCAAAAACATGTGCCAACAAATCTTAGGAAAAAAAGTGTCTAGAACTCCTGAAAATTAGATTAAGGCTTTGATTTATGACAGAAATTTAAAATTGGCAATTTAGTTGTTATTACTTTTTCAGTGTAAATATTTGGTCACATTTTTAGAAATGAGTATCCCAAATTTAGGAATTTTATGAAAAATTTCCTACCTGGAATACCTCTCTTCATAGAAGTTTAATTTGTTCACTGAATTCTGCAGAATAAAAGCATTTTTCACAAAAAAGAAATAAATAGCATAAATTATAAACAACTCAAAATATATCTTTAATAAAATAATGTTATTACATTTTACGAAAAATTACTGAAATGGAAGGTAGTTCAGAAACCACAAAAGGTAATATGAAGAAATAAAAATACATGAGAAAATACAGTGGATAAGATACAAGGAAGATAAAGTGAGAAGGTCTAAAAGTATTGAATCGGAAACTCAAACGGAGAGGAAAGAAATAACGAAGCAAAGACAGTATTTCAAAAGTGGTGGGAACCAGCCCAGCCCTGAGTCCCGACAGTACCGAGGGAGTGAGAAAAGACGTAAGACAAAGACGAGTAGAATTCACATGGGTCCAGGGCGCCAACACACTCTCTGGCGGGGTGAACTGCATTGGCACTGAGCTCTGGGCTCCACAGGCTTTTATTAGTTGCATTATCTTGTTAATCTTGCAGGCTGTGGGGAGGCCGGTTGAGAAGGAAGATGGGGTGGGGTAAAGAGCGAGTGTCTGCAGCATTCAATAGCAAATGTGGTTCTTTTAAGAAGTGCTAACTAAGGACACCGAGTTTTACCACCTATTGTCTATCCAGGCGCACCTGCAAAGAGGCACAGTGGATAAGGCGCCATACTGTTTGACCACACACAATGTGTCAAGGGGCTTTTATCTCTGGAGCATTGTGGACACAGAGCAATCAGAATTACTCCATATTCTGAGAACATAGGCAGAGCCTGTGGCATTTCAGTTATCTCTGCCCTGCAAGGCTTTCTGGCTTCCCAAGCTCCCATCTGCAAAGACCCTCCTGAGTCTTGTGAGCAGAGGTTACATTCCTTCCCAGAGTTCTTGCACAAGCCCTCTTTACGAGACCCTCAAGCAAACCCTATGTTGGGAAGAGATAGTGGGACCAAAGCAGTCTTTGCTGCCTTGCAACCACACCACAGCATTCTGCAGTTATAAAGCGCTCTCTGATGGTCTTCACCATAGGCCTCCTGTTACCGATTGATTTCGGCTTTTACAGACCTTAAACAATTTTTCTTTTACTGCACCACAGTTCGGAGTTTTCTTTAATTCAGTATTTGATCCATGGCACAAATCTCAGGGTATAAAAAGCAAAGCAAGCTTGTGACCATTTAACTATAAGTAACACAGGTCTGCCCCTGGTGATCTTTTCCTACA